TATTTTGACATATCTAGAAAGCTAGCAAGTACATTCAATTTGAAAACAAAAAGAATTTCCAAGTTGTTTAACTTAAATAGGTTTCATCCTTAATGTTTCATCCAGCAATCATCAAGATGTAACATTGTAAAAATCGATGCAGTAAAGCAATTCTAAAATACGATGTAATATACCGAAGAGCTGATATTTCATAATACACCAGGTTCCTTATTTAATAGTAGGTTGATTATGAATTCACAGGGTACACCCTGATAAACATTTCAGTTTAAAAAAATACCTCCACCCAATGGCATGGTATTTGTTTGTGTTAGGGATGTTGAATTTGAAATTGTACAAGCTGCTTGTATAATCAACTTACAAATAAAAGAGTTGACTATGTAAAAAAAAAGGCTCCCAAGAAAGAAGACATAGTTACCTATGGGTAGTGGTAGGTGCTCTAGACATTTTAGAGTCCTTATTGTTTACAGAAATAGGTCCTTATTCTAGAATTAGAATTGTTGCAACACGGCAGTAGGAAAGATGTCCTGAACTCTCCAATAACAGGTCTTCAATCCCAAAAGGTTGCAATCTATTCACTAGAGACATTGAACCTCAGTTCTTCAGAAATAGGTCTTCAACCCAGACATACTTAAATTCCAACAATATCGAAACAGGTCTGGTGTCTAGACACTAGGAAAAGACACGTTCCCATTAGATAGATAAGGAAAGACCCTCTAAAAACAGGTCTGCAGCAACAAAGAGATTGAAATTCAAACAACAAGACTTCTACTCTGGGAAATATTATAACCAGAAAGTACAACAGAACTAAGAATTTACTCATGTGGGTTCTCTTGACAAAGATGAATGGCTGTTTTCCACAGAGACCTGTGCAAACCTTAGAAAAGCATACTTTGTTTAATGCTATTTCTGTGACACCTTTTATGGTGTGAATATCATGGTCACTGTCCCAGCTCCCCCATGGTCACTTGCAAACACCCCCCCGGGAACTATTCCAGTGAGCCACTGCAGGCCTTATTAGGGGCCACCAACCCAAGAGACCATCTACTTAAAAGAACACCTACGGCAAGCCCTGGGATTGTACCTCTCACGGCACCTGTCCAAACATCCAACACCCATCTTTTAGATAGTTTTACCATAATATCAGCTCAAAGATTCAAGCAGTATGTAATGTGTGTGTGATATGTGCTGGCTGTAAACGACGTGGTATTTGTTGGCTGTATGTGATATGCACGGTATGTGGTGGTTGTATGTAACGTGTGTTTTCTTGCTCTATGTAGACCCCTCCTGCTTGCCTTTCTTCAAAGAAGGGGGGCTATGATCCCTAGTGGTTCAATGGCGGTCATACTCCCCGGTGGTCCAACAGGGGTTAGCTGTGCCTGGTGGTTTAGCAGGGGCCTGAGTCCCTGATGGTCCAGCTGCAGGAAGTGTGAGGCTTGCAGTAATTCTTCAATCGCAGTTCAGCACTCAGCGAGTCAGAGTGCAAGCTAGGAACATCCAGTGGTTGCGCTCTGACTCACTAGAGAGTGCAAGAGAGCCATGGATGAGGTCTGCACCCACTGGAGGTGTAAACCTTACATTGATCCACCCACCAAGGTATCTCTGCCACTTGCTCACAGCAGGGCTAAAAGAATAAAACAACCTGCCTGCCCTGCCACTGCTTACTAGAGCTCTCTTTTAGTGGCACGCAGGGCATGTGCCATACCAGCATACCCTAGATACTCCGGTGCAAGAGAAATGGCAATACAGCTCCCACTATTTAATTTGGAAGAAGAATGGTGTAAAGCTGCAGCCCACAATCTCTGGATGCCAGTGGCATCTCCCCATCCTCCACTTTCTTGGCCAGGTTCATGGTGGAGTCTCACACATGTTCACTAGCCAAAATTATCTCACTATCTATATTTTTCAGAAGGATACAATTATGCAAACAACCCATAATCCATTTTCCTAGTTTAAGGTTTTCTCTAATTAACATAGAATTAGCCTTTGTCTCAAGGAGCAGTATTCTTGAAGTATTCGCTCAAAAAACAGGTTTGTCTCGAGCACCTTGAGCATTGGATTTGGATAACCTCTCGAGGCACAAACCAAAGTAATGGCAATAGTAGTTGTTTGTGTACAACTTTCACATACAAGGTATTTAGCACATAACTATGAGAAACGTGTTACAAACTTTATACACAAATAACATTCATTACCCCAGTTTCCACCATACAGTGCAGCATAATGTATTCAATCCTACAATATTTTACCGGTATATTCATAGGCTTTCTACCATCAAGGATGCTTGGTGACAGTGCAGCGGATAGAGAAGTGAAATCACAAAATAAGTCTGATGAAAGGTTTGGATATTCCTGGATTCTATCAGAGAGCATCGCAAATGGAAAGGGTAACAAAAACAGGTGAACAGTGAAGAGAAATCTAATGAGACACACAGGAGAGAAATAAACAAAGACAGACTGGGTAGAGAAAGTAATTCTGGACAAGGTATTGGAGAACAAACAAAAGATATGAGAGGGAAAAAGATAAACTGGGGAAATAGATGGGGCTAGGGTTATTTTTACAAACTGCTGTCACAATACATGCTGTCACTACTCTTTATATATTGTTTATTAGTTATCACCTAGGATCACCCTAAATAGACACAAGAAAATACATATCTACTGAAATGAATTCACCTGCAAGTCGAGTTTGTTTTGTGTGCAGATGACTCATAAAGGAAGATTAGAGTAACCTGAGTTAAATGCACTGACAACAGAGCAACCACAACCTGAACGTCTGTCATGCATCATGTATAATATTAGACTTAGCGTGTGTACTAGATAGCCACACATATTGATAGTGAGATAGCTCTACTGTTGCTGGGCTTTTGAGGCCTTCCTGTGAATGATGGTATCTAACCAATAAAAGCACCGAAGTGTCTGTCAATATATAGAAAGATTTTTTTGCCCCTCAGAATTTATATATTGAGGTGCCACCCACAAAGTCACAACTTACAGATAGTGAGGTCAAGTACTACTGAGTATTTAAAACTAAATGAGGTATATGGCAATCAAAGCGTACTAATGTAAATAATTGATCTCCTGGAAAACTTGCAATACCTGTATTAAAGTGAACCAGTTATGATAAGTTCATTTTAAGAACTAATATCTCCTTACGTCATCAATATTTCATTTATAATGCCATCAATGTGACTGTTATGTAATAAACACCTTGTTCTTTCTCCCCTTGCCCTTGCTCAACAGCCCCTACTTGAGAATGCTCCCTGAATATCACATTCATAGCAAATGTATCTGTATCACAATAAAGCGATTCCTTAGATAAAGTAGTAGTCAGAACAACTACAACACAAGCAGTGTAGTTACAATGAAAGAGAGCAGGGAAACATTAAGCTAGGATTTAACTTTAGAAGGGTTCTCCTGTTCTCACCTGCCGATCTATTCAAGGCATAAATGCAATGTCCTCTCGTTGTGTGTCCAGAATTGATTTACAGGCAGGAGGGAGGACCATTTCTTTATTTTGATATTTTTTTTTATCTATACATATATAACAATTCTTGTAGTATAATGAATAAAACATATGTTATGCTCATACATTGGTGTGCAGATACATTTCAACCACACTGGCAGTTTTTTTCTTTTAATTTTGTGTTGACATTTCAGGTGTCCAATCAAACTTAGGACCATTGCAGGGCAAATTGTGATGGACCTGGTTCTCTTCCTACATTCATTTCTGCATTTTTGTCACAATATTCTAGTTATTATGGATTATGCTTATTACATTTTTATTTTGCTAGCAACAGTAATATTCTGGGTTTACCTTGGCCCAATTTCTTATGAACATAGTTGATGTACAGACAGACATACATATATATATAATCTTGAGAATGGTTGTGCATATAGTTGCTTATACACATGTAAATAAGTAATTATTTATCTTATATTCTAGAGAGAGAGTGGAGTAAACACTGAATTGTGAAGTATATTGTAAAAGAACCTGAAGCTGAACCTGAATGTGACCACCTAGAACCAAATAGATAGATGTGGAGAACAAAGATCAGCCACTTGCACTTAAAGTCTTATTATGGAATGAAAGACTGAAAAAGCATGGGCATAATCCAGCTAGGATTACACTCCACTAGACATACCTGCTAATAATGAGAGATATCAGATCAGGACAGGTGGGTGGGCCTGAGGGAGGCATCACAAGTGACACAGCTCACTTCTTTGGTGATCCCAATAATGGGCAGGAAAGGTGTGGACCACCCTCTTAAGTTGCCTTCTGGCTGGGCCCCAACCTACGCTGTTGCTGAAGCACACTCAGCAGTATCCTAGTACCCGTGCAAAACGCAAGTGCTTCTAATAATGTGCTCATCCTGTGCTGTTTGAGGATAGCGCCCTAGTGTCCCCAGATGCAGGACACCAGGGAACTAAATCAGGACAATGGGACAGGACCTCAAAATTGCGACTATTTGGGTAGCCTAACTGGACTTACTAAAATCACTAAATTACATTCCTTCTCCCTATGCTAAAGATAACCAATAAGAATACAGCAGGGTATCCCATTCCATTAAAATTGAAGTGGCACTGTACCCAAAATTCATTTCACCAAAGTCTTCCAACGTATAAAATGACCCCTGACCACATTTTGATGTAATCAATCTAGATAAAGCTTAGACTCACATATTATCAGGGGTAAAGTATATATCTGAAATTTGTCCTACCTTTCAGGCCGTGTAGGGAGGCTGTCAGTTTATCTTTGAGCTGCAGGTCATTCACATGTTCTATCAAATTCAGAAGACGGCAGACGTGGGCCTTAGACATATCATGTCTCTTTACTTCTCCACGGATAGCTACTGAATTCTGATGCTTTGGCGTACTCATCCTGAAGCTTCCGTGAATCCCATCTCTGCCTCTTCCAAGCTCTCCACTCATCCCCTATTCTGTTCTTCTTAAAACGTGACCACATAAAAAGAGTGATGATGAAAAGTGAATCCAGAGCCAGCTGTAGAAACCGTTCATTACCTGCAGTAAAAAATTACGTTCTGCTTAATATTACAGTGTTAATTCTCCCTTACTAATTTCCTTTTTTCAATGGCTTTAGTCTTCACATTTGTAGCCTCTCAATAATTTGCAAAATTTGCTAAATCCTTTGTGCATTTTGTTTTTTGTCGCCAAAAAGTTTTCCTCTTTCAGTCTGCCTGCCTCTGCATCTTAGTCGTTCACGTGTGCACTTCCTGGAGTCAATGCAGAGTTTCAGATCAGTTTCTGTATTGTCTGACGGTGTCCCTCCCAGACTTCTACTGTCACAGTTTAGAAAATTACTGTTGATTTTAACCCTGTAAGCTGCTCTACAAGCTACAAACTCTGCACAAGCATTTTTTAACTGTGAAATAATAACAAAAGGTGTAGGACTACAACAAGAGCTCACAGCGTAAAACATATAACATACTTAGCCCTGAGCTACACAGTAAACGAACATGCAGGAAGTAGTTAACCACTAAACCCATTAACCACTGCTTTTTGCTGATCTCTAAGCACCATTTTATCTGATGATTGGCCCCTTTTTAAGAACACCCACTGGTTACTAGAAATGTGACAAAGACAATTAAAATTTTCAGTCCAAATATGTCATTGTTGTGAATTAGATAAAATGAAACACTCTGCTGAGTCCCTGATAGTATTCTTACCCATGTGCATGTAGCAACATATTTCTTAGCTGTGCTATAAATTACCCTTGATGATAGAGATATAGTGTTGCCCAACTGTTGCCCAACTGTGGAGAGTTGCAGGGCTGCTTTATGTAGAGAGATAAGAGGCAGGACTATCTCACATCCTGCAGGGGTGTGTGTAAGCAGTTAATCTCCCTGTTGATGGCAAAATATTAAGGTCTAGAGATCTGTGCCTTTTCTGGCACAGCTGTCCACTGCACAGCATTCTAATATTGTTTTGATCCTTGAAATACTGTATCAGTCTCCTGCAGCAAGAATGAATTCAAGGGAGCTGTGCCACACAGGACTGAGGCAACGGTGGGGCGAGAGGGGTCAAAGGGGGTGTAAAAGGGACATGGAGAAATACTTACCGGATATTTGCCCTTCTTGGCACTGCCAACTCCTCTCCATTTTTGGGTGGGTAGCGGGAATTTGCTAGAAGAATTGTTTACACACTTCAATAACCGCCTGCAATGTTCTGTATTGTAAAAGTGCCTAATGTAACTTTAGTTATGGCAACTGGGCATTATGCAAACATGCAGATATGATTTTTATTACATTCTGGTGACATTTTCAGGCATGTTCATTCTGTGAAATACTGGTAAAACACAATGTTATCTATTTTTGGGACACATAGTATAAGTGACAGAATTGTATTTACCTATGTTATTTTGACACTATAATGCGTTTACGTTAATATGTCACACACTACACCCTGTTCCAAATTATTATGCAAATTCTATTTAAGTGTCACAAAGATTAAATATTTTGTTTTTCAGTTTAACTCATGGATGGCATTGTGTCTCAGGGCTCTTTTGATCACTGAAAACAATCTCGGACACCTGTGATAATTAGATAGCCAGTTGAGCCCAATTTAAGGAAAAACTAATAAAGGAGGGTGTTCCGCCGAAAAGAGTGAAATAGTTCAATGCCTTGGACGAGGTATGAAAACATTAGATATTTCACAAAAACTTAAGCGTGATTATTGGACTATTAAGAGATTTGTGGCTGATTCAGAGCACAGACGGGTTCGTGCAGATAACGGTACATTGAGGAAGATTTCTGCCAGATCCATGCATCGGATCAAGAGAGCAGCTGCTAAAATACTATTACATAGCAGCAAACAGATATTTGAAGCTGCTGGTGCCTCTGGAGTCCCACGGACATCAAAGTGTAGAGTCCTGCAGAGTCTTGCAACTGTGCATAAACCTTCTATTCGGCCACCACTAACCAATGCTCACAAGCAGAAACGGCTGCACTGGGCAGAAAAATACATGAAGACTAATTTTCAAACAGTCCTGTTCACTGATGAGTGCCGTGCAACCCTGGATGGTCCAGATGGATGGAGTAGTGGATGGTTGGTGGAAGGCCACCCTGTTCCAACAAGGCTGCGACTTCAGCAAGGCGGTGGTGGAGTCATGTTTTGGGCCGGAATCTTGGAAGAGAGCTGGTTGGCCCCTTCAGTGTCCCCGAAGGTGTAAAGATGACCTCTGCAAAGTATGTGGAGTTTCTGACTGACCACTTTCTTCCCTGGTACAGAAGGAAGAACTATGCTTTCCATAATAAAATCATCTTCATGCATGACAATGCACCTTCTCATGCTGCAAAGAATACCTCTGCATCAATGGCTGCTATGGGTATAAAAGGAGAGAATGTCATGGTGTGGCCTCCATCCTCCCCTGACCTCAATCCTATTGAGAACCTTTGGAGCATCCTCAAGCAAAAGATCTATGAGGGTGGGAGGCAGATTACATCCAAACAGCAGCTCTGGGAGGCTATTCTGACATCTTGCAAACAAATTCAAGGAGAAACTGTCCAAAAAAACTCACACGTTCAATGGATGCAAGACTTGTGAAGCTGCTATCTAATAAGGGGTCCAATGTTAAAATGTAACATGACCTATTAAAATGTTTAAAAAGCTAAAATGTTGTATTCGGTTTGATTGAATTTTATTGAATTGATTGAAATAGCTTTTGATTTCAGTAAAGTACTTTGAAACTTACTTTGTGTAATAATTTGGAACAGTGCATTGTAATTGTTTTATGTTTAAAAAAAATACTGTTGTGATTAGGAGGTTTGTTCAATAAAATTTGAATTGTACTCTTACTAGTTGATAACATGAGAATTATGCTGACTGTTATTTACATCAATTATTTAGGTAAATGAGAAAAATATCATTTCCATAATAATTTGGAACAGGGTGTATGATTTATTACAATACAGCACTGGTAACGGATCAAATGTTTCATGATGTTTTGTTTTTCCAAAGTCTTGCAAAGTGTTGTTGAAACATTGGGCCTAATTTGTGATTTATTGATGAATCTCTCGGTTGAGTCATATTTGGTAATACAGGAAGGTTAATGACAAAAATATTGCACTTTTGTGGATTTTCATTTACATCACGTGTTGAAGATTACAGAACTAAATAGAATGATGATGCTAACTGGTGACAGGTGCGTCCTAAACCTATTCCATTGAAATATGAAATTATAATATGTGTTTCTCTATAGTGCTGGGTCAGGGGCTCCATGATCAGAATCTAAAAATTACAGTGGGCCTAATCTTAATTTGCATTTCTGCTCTATTTTGTTTAGAAGAGCATGTGTCTGACCTTTGTCTGTAGCTAAACGTTGCTGCTGTATATAAAACCAACTCTATGTATTTATCGACTGGAAATGGAAAGGATAAAAAATAAATCTTTGTAAACAGGCTGAGGCACTTTCTAACTAGGAAAACAAGGAACACAAGAGACAAACTACTTTCCTATGTGTCATAGGGAGCAGAAGGCACATGTGCATTGAGAAGCTTCTTTTATGGACAGTGGGCCTAGGGGCTCTTTTGGGCCTTCCAATTGTTAATCAGGGTACAGATCAGATTCATATTAGTGTATACAGTGGCAAAATTACTTTTGGTATTTTAGATGTTATGGACAGTGATCCTTATGATCCTCAGACGGACCAAGCAGTAAAATATGTCTGTCCCTGCCTGGCCAAATGTTATAACAATGGCACCAAGAGAAAATAGTGGGGGTGAGAGATTTGGAGAATAACATACCCCTCAGCCAAACCCATTATAGGACATAGGAGGTGTGTGGTGGAGTGAGATAAGCATCGCTAGGTGTGTGTGCATCTTTATAATTATATTAATAATATATTTATAAAGAAAGGCTAGGATTTCAAACAGCGTTAGTGTAGAAAGGAGCAATATAATCTTCCGTCTTCCCCCCCCACCCCCAGCCACACAAAACAATATATTTTTTTATCTAAAAGGTCCACATCCTTCTTAACAATCAGCACTGTAGTAGACCGAAAAAGGCATAGAATATTCAGTAAAAGGGCTATCTTGACTACATCAATTCAACCAATCAGAGATAAGTGATAACAAGATCAACGCTACATTATCTCATGTAGTACATCCAAAAAGAGGTAATTTACTCTATAAATGGTTTAACTCTATGCAGTAAATGTAATAAAAAGGAACACTATTTGATCCTATTTGAAATAAAAAAAGGAAATTTACTACAAATCCTGCCAATATTCCTGCAAGGATCTTAATAACAATAGTGAATTAACAGAGGTGACAAAGAGCACCCTTGCCTAATTCCATTCAGGATGGAGATGTCTTTGGAAACTGAAGCACATGAACTAACCCTTTGTACACTGTATAGGATTTGGACATCATTAAAGAAAAAGTCCCAAAAATCAAAAGTAGATAATGTGTTTCAATGATAGGACCAGTCAATGCAGTTGAAGGGGACTCTTCATTATTTACTATCTTGGCTCACGTCTTTTTCTGAGAAGGGAAGTTTTAAATTTTATGTAATTTTATTTCATTACTTTTTATTTAATTTTCTTTTTTTTGTATCTCTAAACAGCAGTCTATACACACAATTGCTGTATTTTTTTTTATCAATGTTCTACTATCCTGTGTTTAAAATTAGTTATGCTCTGTTTATTATTTTTTTTCTTTAAGAACTTGGTAGACCATTTCATAAATATATGACAAACTGTAAGTAATTATTATGTCACTAAACTTTAAAATGTAGTGAATTAAAATTCAAATTACAAAATTCAAGTTAATATAGCCAAGCTGTGTCCATACCTGTGCTGGAGAACTACAAGAGTTTTGAGATCTCTTTTATGTCTATTTTAGCCTGAATTGTGTTATTCAGATCACTTTCAGGTCTATTGTTGCTTGAATTTTGTTATTCAGATTTAAGGTCTCTCTAAATTCAGAGTTCAGTGAATAACCTTTCTTGGGGATACAACATATCTACACAAACTCTTGCTTGTTGGCTTTGTGGAATATTTTTTGTTCAGATTATTTGTCAAATATACTGCATTTACAAGATTGTTAGCTATTTTTTAATTCCAGGTCAAATCACATTCTCATGCTCATCGTAAAGATCCCTATACCCTTCACAGCGAAGAATGGAGTTCCTAAATTATGCCTTTTCTCCAACCTTCCATTATTACAGCTCATTCACCCTTAAAGGACCACTCTAGGCACCCA